ACAGTTTGAAGCCACCAGCTGCTCCGCAGGAGAAGGACGGCAAGCTCCTCTCTCGTTCAATTAAATGCCTCTGAAAACTCGCTGCAGGGTTGGCTACGAGTAGATTCTAACTCAGCAGCACCTAACAACAATATACATACACACACATGTAAGCTTAATGCCACTTAAACTAAAGATTATTGTTGTTGTTGTTAGGTGCCGTCGAGTCACTTGCGACTCATAGCGACTCTATGTACAACAGCCCTAAACTCTGCTCTATCCTTTGCCAATCACACCATCTCCAATACACCCATCTCAATTATCGCAGTCACTGAATCAATCCACTTCATAGAGGACCTTCCCCTCCTGCGCCTGCCCTCCACCCTCCCAAGCATGATGTCCCTCTCCAAGGACCTGTCCCTCCTTACAACATGACCAAAGTATGTTAGACAAAGCCTCAGAATCCTTGCCTCCAAGGAGCAGCTTGGTTTAACCCTCTCTAGGATGAATCTGTTTGTTTTCTTAGCAGTCCATTGTACCCTCAATACTCTTCTCCAGCACCACAGCTCAAATGCATCAATCCTTCTTCTATCTTTCCTAGTCATTATTATTATTATTACTAATCAGGTTATAAAATGTGGATTTCTGCGCCCCCCCCCCTCCCGCCCCCGCCCCGATTGTGGGAAAAATATAATACCACCTTTTTGGAGAGAGGACACTAGAATACACATGTCATGCAGAAGTCCCTTCTGACTGATACCAGGCAACTGAATGAGTAATAAATGACAGGATAAGCCTAGATGTTTAAGCACTCAGCTGATAACCAAATGGTCAGTAGTTCAAATCCTACAATCAGTCCAAGGCAGAATAACTTGTAAATACAGATTTGTTGTTGTTGTTGTTGTTGTGTACTGTAGAGTCAGAACCAACCCATAACTGACCCTCTGGCACATTTTCAGAGACAATTAATTGCAGGAGAGGAGACCGCTCATCCTTCTCCCACAGAGTTGCTCGTGACCTTGAACCGCGTGCCTTCAGGACTGCAGGGCAGCTTCTTGCCATTTGGCCCTTAGAGGGCAGGTCTACAGGATCACCGGGAGTTGGGATTAACTATGGCAATAGGTTCGTTTGTTAGGGCTGCAGTTCTACCTTGTGGGTATAGGGGCCCCAGTGCAGGTAGATTTCACAGCTTATAAAGATACCAGAAATCCAGGCTTACATGTAAATATCTCCTCATTTTAAAATGCTAGTTACCAAGACAAAAGTATTTAAAACTATTAAACATGTGACAACGTAAAAGCCTGGGAGGCAGAGTCTGGTGATGCTGCAGAGATCAGCTTCACAGCCCCAGGGACCACCCAGCCCGCAGCAGTGAGGTCTCACTGTTACCGCCTCCTCTCGTGCGCACTGAGTGTGCGTGCAGGGCAGGGAGGCCTCTCGAAGGACCCCCTGACCTCTTCCACCTTCCATGAGGCCTGACTCAAAGGGTCACAGTGTGGTCCACGGAGAGCCAGTGAGGCTTCTTCCAAGGAAACAGATAATCTACAGGCAAATGAGCTAGCATTTGCTTCAGCTTGTCACTCATTTTAAAAGGTTGTGTCTTTTTATGTATGCAATCAGAAAAATAAAAGGCTAACACTAATGATTACATTACCAGCCACTGATTTAAAGTCTAATTAGTGCTCCCGACAGCTGTGTGCAGTGGGGCACCCCCAGGGTTTGTCATAAACCTCCTGCCCTTGCTAGCCCCTGGGAGACCAGTCCATCCTCCATCAGGCAGGGCCCACGAGTGCGTGTGTGAAAGCTCCCTGCGTCACGCAGCCAGGTCGGAGAACCACAGCACAGGAAGGACGTGGTGCCTGAAGAAGTGGAGGGTCAGGAAAAGGAGAAACAGTGTGACGAGGACAGTGTCCACACCAACACTCACAGGCACACCCGAGCCTGGCCTGGCGCAGGAGCAGGTAGCTTCTGTTCTGATGTTCTCGGGGCTGCAGGCGCTGGACTGGGCCCAGGAGGAGCTGGACTGGGCCCAGCAGCACCTGACCACACAGCAGCCTGGAGTCTAGAACCCTGTTCTGGAGTCCTGCATCAGTGATGCCCAGCTCTGTGATTCTGAAAGACAGTGCCCTTCCATAGTTCTAGCTGCAGCAGGCTTTGTCCTCTGATACCAAACGGTTTCTCTTTTTTCTTTAATGCTCTTCTTTTTAAGTTTTTATCTTATGTTGGTTTGCTTACAAAGTTTGTGTACATTGTTATTTCACACTATTCTTCACTCACATTGTGTTTCATACAATCATTCCCATTCATTATGTTTTATAAAGTCAATCACCATTGGACTATGCCCACCATTACCTTGTCTTTTCAGGTCCCCACCAGATCTTTCCCATTTCCTTCCTTCCCTCCCTTCACCCACCAAATTGTGCAACCCCCTGGTTTTACCTGTACCCATCCAGACCCCTATGCTCCCACCTCTTCCTCCCTTGGGTCCCCGTACATGTTTTACTAGTTAGCCTTCTCTTCTTACAACTAATAGTCTTATGCAGTATTTATCCTTATGAGGCTGAAGTAGTTCACTCAGCCTAATGCTCCTCAGTCTCTCAAGTTATGTTGTCTTTTCCGAAACTGTTGCTCCTGCATGTTGCGTTGTATTCCTCTGTGTGAAGTACCACAGTTTTTCAATCCATTCAGTTGTGGTTGGACACCTGGGCTGTTTCCATGTTCTTACGGTGGTGAATAATGCTGCTGTGAACAATGGCGTGCAAGTCTCCCTTTGTGTCTCAGTTCTAATTTCCTTAAGGTATATTCCTAGCAGTGGAATAACTGGGTCATAAGGAGTTTATATGTTCAGGTTTTTTAGGAAATGCCAAACTGCCTTCCACAGAGGTTGTACCATTTTACAATCCCACCAAACGGGCCAGTTTCTTGTGTTTATAAAATATTAGCATAATTATAACTATAACCCAAAGACAATAAATATTGCATGGACTCACAAACTTGTAATAACGACACGGCAGAGAAGTAGTACACGCTGATGCACACACTTTCCACATGCACATATATATGTTATGCTGTTAGGTGCCGTCGAGTCGACTATACTCATAGCAAGCGTATCAACAACACACCAGAACCCTGACGCAGTGACCGCCAGAATGGGCTTCCAGAGGGCAGAGGCTGTGGTGATGGGGGAGGGGAGGGCAAGGTTAGTGCAGAACACAACTACTGAGACTCAGAATCACAGGCTCGCACAAGGCAAGACATCCCAAGATCTGGAGGCAAAGACACCCCAACAGAAAAACGATGCCTTGCTGAGACTCCCCTGAGCTGTGTACTCCAGCCATCCCCCAGCCTCACCCCTGAACAGCAGAACTTGAGGGTGATCAGGCTGTCAAACCCAATGAGCCCCAAACACACCCCAACAGGAAAACGACAACTTGTTAAGACTCCCCTGAGCTGTGTACTCCAGCCATGCCCCAGTGTCACCCCTGATCAGCAGAACTCGCGGGCGAGCAGGCTGTCAAACCCAACAAGCCCTGTCTCGAAGCAACTTCCTTATAAAGATCTTCACCTACCAACATATACTTCATAACAACTGGACTCAAACATCTACAATCTCGGTTGAACAATGCACTCTAGCCAAACAGTGTGCACTTTCCTCCCCTTCATCATCTGTACGTTTGGCCTCTCTTTAAAATGCAGTGACCACCACAAAGCAGATTAGCCAGCTGCCAGCTGGGGCTGGGGGACTGGGGCGCAGGGGCCAGCAGAGGAGGAGTCTGTTTCGAAGGAGATGGAAATGCTGGAATCACAGTGGTGATAGCTCACAACACAGGCAATAGATGAAAAACCACTGAACCAGACACTTTAAAATGGTACTTTGATGGCATGTGAATCATATTCAAATGAAACAAAAAAACAGAATGCAAAAAATTTTGTTGTTGTTGTTGTTGTTATATGCCGTCGAGTTGCTTGTGACTCATAGTGACCCTATGTACAACAGCCCTAAACCCTGCTCTGTCCTGTGCCAATCGCACTGTCTCCAACACACCTACCCCGACAACCCCAATCACTGAATCAATCCACCTTATAGAGGGTCTTTCTCTCCTGTGCTGTCCTTTCATCCTCCCAAGCATGATGTACCTCCCCAAGGACCCTCCTTACAACATGTCCAAAGTATGGCAGAAAAAGCCCCAGAATCCTTGCCTCCAAAGAGCAGCCCGGTTTAACCATCTCCAGGATGAATCTGTTTGTTTTCTTGGCAGTCCATAGTACATTCAATACTCTTCTCCAACACCACAGCTCAAAGGCATCAATTCTCCTTCTATCCTCCCTAGTCATTGTCCAGCTCTCTGATGCACAACAAGTGATTGCAAAGACCGTGGCCTGTATCACTACTGCTCTTCAGTACTTTGGAGAGGTCCCTAGCAGCAGACTTTCCCATTACAACACATCTTTTAATTTCCTGGCTACTGGTGCAAAGAGTGTTGACTGTGGAGCCAAAAAATTTTACTTCTACTTTATATACTTTTATAAAGCAATATAATTATTTGCTTTTATAATTTCGATTTTATAAAGCATTATTGTATAAATATATATTCTGAATCAAGTGGAAAAAAGTTATCAAATAACTTGAAAATAAGTAAGTACAATCTCAAAACTGGGCAGACCAGAGTGTCCATGGTAAAGAACGGAGACGAGAACTAGAGCACGGCCTGGATGCTAGGTCCACCCGACAACACTTCAGCTACTGGTCAACCATGACTACTGTGTCCCCCTCCTCCTCTGACTGAGGCTGCCCCTCTCCAGCCCTCCCTCTCCAGCAGGTGTCAGCCTTCCCCTCCCCCTACCACTTTACAATAACTAATTAAGCTTTTATACCATTTTCAGAGATGCATTCCCCATTGGTCACTGGGCTTGACCGAAGCGTCTAAATCTGAAATTCGTACCTAAGATGAACTGAGACTGTAAACTCGTATCATACGTAGCACCCCCAGCAGTACTTGCTGCAGCGCCTGTGGACCTACCTCCAGCGGCTGGTCAGTCTTCACCAGCGCCATCCGCGCCCTCTGCAGCGAGCCGTGCATGAGCTTGTGCAGCCTGAGAATGAGCTTCCGCAGGCCCATCTGCTTCAGGGCCTTGTCCACAAACGGCCTGTAGATGGAGGTCCGGCAGGGCCGGCTAAAGCCCGCGTCTGTCCTGCACTCTGGGGTGGCCCAGCCGACGGACTCCTCCTCGGACCCCAGCCGCACCAGCCTCTTGGACACAGAGTCCTGGGGGTGGACATCGAGGCTGTTCTCAGTGGGCGGCCTGAGCTCCTGTCCACTCCGACCGGAGATGTGCTCCCCTTCGCTCTCGTCAGCACTGCTGTCCATGCCCCCCAAGTCCCCCTCAAGGTCATCCTCCTCATCTTCCGCCTCGTTGGCTTTGGACGGACGAGGGGATGGGATTTCAAACACTGGCCAGCCAATGTCTGACAAGTTCTTGATGCCCAGGACCGTGCCCATGATTCTCAGCTTCTGGTTCAGGTCCTTGGTGATGTTGAGCCACAGACAGAGCGCCTGCACCCTGTCCTGGAAGTCCCTGGCCGCGTACTTCTCGTAGTCCTTCTGCAGGGCCTGCAGGGACGGGTACAGGGCCTCCATGTACTCCAGCAGCTCCATGATGCGCTTCACCTGCTCAAAGGACACCCGCTGGCGCTGCAGGTGCTCGTGGTACGTCGGGCAGCCTGCGGGCTCCGTCCCACCGGGGCCGCCGCGCTGCCCTCCCACCCACTTGCCGTTGAAGCTGGCGCCGTTGCGCGCCAAGGCAAAGCTCCCGTAGTTGACCTTGAACGTGAGGATCTCATTGATGATGTCGGGGATGGCCTGGCGGGCGGTGTACAAGAAGAGGTCCTGGTCGTTGATGGTGCGGCCCGCGTGCCAGGCCTGGAGCTCGAGCCAGATGAGCTCGTTGGAGCGGCTGACCCAGAAGGCGGACGTGTTCTCCTGGCCTCGCTCCCTGTCCTTCTTCTTGGACACCGAGGTCAGCTTCAGGAGCAGGCGTAACGTCTCGAAGAACTTGAGCCGATCGGCCGGGCAGTCGGTCCGCGAGGTCTGACGCGCGGTCCTGGCCATGGGCATGGGCACCGACACGGGCAGCTTGGCGTTGCTGCAGCCGAGGCTGAGGTAAGGCTTGTGCAGGTCCACGTCGGGGATGGGCTTCTTGGGCGGGGCGCCGACGGCGTCCAGCATGAAGGAGCACTGCGCGCTCTTCTTCTGGTCACGCTCGGTGGAGCGCAGCGCCGCACGCAGCTTCTTCTCCTGCCGGTGGCTGTGCTCCTCGCTGCTCTCGGCCGCCTTCCCGGGGGCCGCCTTCCCCGGGACCGGGCTGGGCGCGCTCAGCTTCTCTGGTGGGGAACAAACACGACAGGGGTTAGTCTAAACCACGGGGTGACTCGGAGGAACGGAAATCAAACCGGTTTTGCATAAACTGGTTATTTTCAAGGGGGAGTTCGGGTGTCCCTGTGTTAAGGAGCTGTGCTAGCAAACCCAAAGGGATGCGGTTCGAAACCACCAGCTGCTTCTCATGCCAATCTCCTCCTGTGCAAGGTACAGTCTCTGAGAATCCCTGCAGTGTTCGCCATGAGTCAGTTCCGACTCTCTGGCAATGAATCTGAGTATTTGATATTTTTCAATACGGGGAGAGGGAAGAAGAGAACACCATTTGAGAATTTAATAATCAAGACATACACAGCCTTTCACTTCAAAATTCGGAGCTCTTTTCTCTGTAATATTTTGATGTTATTATGAAGTGTCAATGACTTGACTAGGGCTCACAGAGTCTATGAACAGCAGAGCTGTTCTCTGTCATCATGAAGCTCTCCAACACGCTGACGAGTCCTACTTACCAAACTAAGAATCTCACCACACGCGGCACCTGCCATGTGAATCAGGTGTCCACGCGCAACCAGCCACACCTCCAGAAGAGAACTACGAGCACGGCAGGGCCTCCGAAGACCTGCTGCCGTAACCATCGAGAAGCTCATGAATGTCTACAAGGCGGCCAGGTCTAGCCTCTGCACCAGAGAAACACTTGGGCCTCTGCTTCTGGGGAAGCACGGCCTAGAGACACCAGCAAGCACGTCCCCCCATCACAGAGGGCTGCTCAGCTGGAACCCACTGACCGTTACTCGGGACACCCAGGTGATGGTGTCTGACACACGGGCTGGGCGAGGAATGGAGGTGCAGCACTGGAAGCCGTCAGCGGAGAGATGCTACCTAATGCCATGAAGACTCGCTCACCTGGCGGAGGCTGCCGCCTAGAAGTCATGAGTACCTGGACCAGAGAGATGCTCAATCGGAACTGTGTGTCCAAATTCATGCTTTCGAGTCAGAGGACAAAAAAAGTAAATAACAGCATTTTATCAAGCTGCTTAGGGTACAAGAAGAAAGCTTTTCTAAAACTAAAGAAGTATTATTATTATTGATATGGCCACAGATAACTGACATAAAATTTAACAATGTTCACAGTTGTTATTATTATGCGCTTGTGACTCAAAGCGACCTTATGTACAACAGCTCTGAATCCTGCTCTATCTTGAGCCAATTTCATTGTCTCTGACACACCATCCCCATCACCCCAGTCACTGAGTCAAGTCATCTCATCTGGGGACTTCCTCTCTTGAGCTGTCCCTCTACCCTCCCAAGCATGACGTCTCTCTACAAGGGCTGGTCTCTTGTTGCAATATGCCATAAGTATGTCAGATGAAACCTCAGAATCCTTGCCTGCAAGAACATCCTGATTTCACCCTTTCCAAGATGGACTTGTTTGTTCTCCTAGCAGTCCATGACATACTCAGTACTCTCTTCCCAGCATCTCAATTCAAAGGCATCGATTCTTCTATCATCCCTTGTCATTGTCCAGCTCTTTGATGCAAAGCATGTAATTACAAAGACCAAGGCTTGGATCAGGTATATCTTAGTCTCCAGACTGACATCGTGGCTCTTCAGTCCAACTCTAGAGAGGTCCCTGACAGCAGACTTTCCCAGTGCAGTTCTTGTGGTTTCCCGGCTGCTGGTGCCAAGAGTGTTGACTGTGGCACTAAAGCTGTTGGCAATCTCAATCTCTTGAATCTATCATGATGCTGTCAATTGGCCCAGTGATGAGAATCTTTTTTTTCTTGATGTTGTACATAGGTTTTTGATCACAATATAATCATAGCAAATAGCACAAAAGTATTATCTGATTTCCAGGATTCATACTTGTTCTTTTGTTTTACTATTTAAAATTTTCTTGGGGAAAAGATATCATGTGGGTAAAGGTGGAGAATCATTGAAAAGAGAGAACTCCCCTCGAACAGATGTACTGGGCCAGAGCATGGCAGAGACTGTGTGGCTGGTGCAGGGCAAGGTCAGACCCCTCTACTGTTCAGTTACTACGAATCAGTCAATCTGACAGCTCTGACGAGCAAGGGAAACAGTTCTGGAGCCGTGGATTTAAGGAGCTGTGCTGGCAGCCCCACGACGGTGCCTTTCTGGGGCTCAAACTCACTAGGCTCCTGGGAGAAGGCAAGGCACCCCCCGCTCATATAATCTCCAGCCTCTGAAAGCCCTATGGAGGGTCAGCTCTGAGTCAGTTCCGACCTCTCAGCCATGAGCTTGCGATTTAAGAGAAACAAAGGGCTAGCTGAGAGATGCTCTGGTGACCTGGACAACTCCAGATGTGTTCGCAACGCAATGCTACATTCACGTGTGTGTGTGATAGTCAAAGCACGGATAGAGTAAAAAAAGAAAGCTCTTCAGATTTGCATTTTCATGCTAGCAATTTCATAGGACTGAAGCAGGGGAAATGCCACAATTCCATTTTCTATTTGGACAGTATCACATTTTCAAAAGCTGAAAAAAAAAAACTTTTAGAGGTTCCATAAAAATCCTTTTTGTACTTTGAATGATGTCAAGGAAACAAAAATTCTCACCACTGGACCAACAGGCATTTATCATGATAAATGGGGGGGGGGGGGAAGAATGAAACTGTCAACAACTTCCTCTTACTTGAATCCACAATCTGTACATTTGGTACCAGCAGTGAGGAAATCAGGAGACCTCTTCCACTGGGAAAGTCTGCAAGCAGGGACCTCTTCAAATTACTGAGGAGCAATGATGTCAGTGTGAGAACTGAAGTGTGCTTGATTCAAGCCACAGTCTGTTCAGTCACTTGCAATGTACCTGAAAGCTGGACAACAAACAAGGATGACAGAAGAACTGAAGCCTTTAAACTATGGTGTTGGAGAAGAGCACTCAACATCCCATGGACGGTAAAAAAAAAATAAACATGTATGCCTTGGAGAAGGTGCAGTCAGAGTGCTTTCTGGAGGCAAAGACGATGAAGCTACGTCTCACATACTCTGGGCATGTTGCTAGAAAAAGCTATTTCTTAGAAAAGAATATCATGCTTGGAAAAGCGGAGGGATGGCAAAGGAGAGGAAGACCGTCAGCCAGATAAGCTGACACAGTGACTGCAGCAGTGGCTCAAGTGTGTCAGAGATTGAGAAGGTGGCACAGTACAGGGTTCAGATGTGTTGTTCACAGGGTCACTGTGATTCATACTCAACTCAACAGCACCCAACAAAAACAGTAAGTTGTTAAGTCTACTTAAGTCTATTTTACACTATGCGAAACTTATACTCGGACCAAGAGGCAGTCGTCAGAACAGAGCAAGGAGACATTACATGGTTCAAAATCAAGAAGGGGGTCTGTCAGGGATGTATTCTGTCTCCATACTTTTTCAATCTGTATGCAGAAGAGATCATCCGAGACGCTGGGCTATACGAAGAGGAATGTGGCATCAGGATTGGTGGAAGAATCATCAACAACCTGCATTATGCAGGTGACACACCCTGCTTCTTGAAACTGAGGAGCACCTGAAGCGCTTGCTGCAGAAGCTCAAGGACTACACAGCCTCCTATATGGACTGAAGCTCAACATCAAGAAAACAAAGATTCTCACCACTGGGCCAATTGGCAGCATCATGATGGATGGTGAAGAGATTGAGATAGTTAACAGTTTTCATTTACTTGGCTCCACAGTTAACACTCTTGGTGACAGCAGCCAGGAAATCAGGAGACGAATTGCATTGGGAAAGTCAGCTGTGAGGGATCTCTCAAGAGTACTGAAGAGCAACGATGTCAGACTGGAGACTAAGGTGTGCCTGATCCGGGCTATAGTCTTCACAATT